ATTAAATGGAGTAGATTTATAGTAACAACTACTTACATTGAATAAGGGTATATTAGAAAAATTAAAATACAACTACATTCTTCAATTGAAAAGTGGACTACAATTTGGGATAGATGAAAAAGGAATACAGGACTATCAAAGTGGGACGGAGGGAGTATGATACTTTTATTATAGTTCATAAGCCCAAAAAAAAAAGAAAGAAAGTGTAGTAACATTTGATTCGTAGTCATTATATATATTATTAAAATGCATGCATATACATTTATAATATTTTTTTAATTTAATTTCACACTTTCAAAAAAAGTACTACTGTATGAAATCATTTTGGCAGTGTCCACTAGATAGCATTAGACAATTAAGACATAATAGGGATTGCAATAATGTTTTTAAAAAAAAAATTCCAATCAGTAACCGACACACTACTCATTTTCCAACATAGAACTACTGAATTCATGGCCACAGAAAAGGGATTAAATTTCTCTTTTAACTATAAATTGAGGGTTCGAACTTCACTTATAATAAAAAAATAATTTAAAGGAGATATTAAAGTATTCTTTTGATTTAATCAGATTTTTATATAGAGTCTTTTTAGACTTTTTTCCTTTAAATTAAGACAGATTAAATTATAAAAATATTTATCGATGTTATAAAATAAATAAGTATACCATAGCTTTCTAGTCAAAACAGGAAAAAGCTGATATGATGAGTGATGACCCTAGTCGCAGATCCCAAAACACTGTCCACCTGAATATGCATATAATTTTGGCTGGCTACACGAACGTGCAGGTTGTAAGACGGGGGAAGGATGGTTAGGCAAGCTTGTTTTTTGGGTAAGAGAGGAGTTCTTGGTTAGACGAGTGAGAGCGTACGTGACTGTGCACTTTTTTTTTTTTTTTGGGATAGAGCTCTATTGGCAAAAAAAATCTTTAATAGCACCGCAAATATGTTTTTGTATTACTTTTTAATATTTTTTTATTTCATATACATTACATTATAAAAAATCTTATGCTATTTTTTAAAAATATTATTCCAAATAATATTCTATCCAAATACACTAGACTATTTTATTTGCATCATATTCAATCACCTTTTAATTATTTTACATGCATCGTATCATATAGAATGTGCTGTAATGTTAACCTAAATAATTTTTCAAGTAATCTTCCATCCCATTTAAGAATATTTAAATGTACAATTTATATTCCAATTACATCACTGCAATGTACTAAAATGAACCCCTCCCCCCTCCCCCCAAAAAAAAGAATAAAAGGGAGGATGAAATGCTTTATATTCCAATTACAAATCACCTTCTGCAATTAATCACTTTAAGAAAAATCTCAAACACTTCCCCTCCTCTTTTGCTTCAAAAGGGAGGATGAAATGCTTTAGTCTTCTCATAAAATTCAAATGTTAATTGCTTTCACCTATTAAGCCAAGTGCCCCCAATCTTGTTTATACTTCTTGAACACCAAATTCCACAGGACTAGTACTCGATTAGTTATAAACCCTTGTCAAGATTCCAGTTTCTGAATGCAACTTACTTCTGGAAAACCGAATTCCACATGACTGGGAACTCAATTAGTTATACACCCTCGTCAAGATTCAAGCCGATTGCAGATGTCCTGCCATAGAATGGGAAACAGTGAAGAAAACAAAGAAAGGATTCATTTACTTTTCATACCTCTCATTGGTTGGGACAAAAAGTAATATTAGTCCATCATTATACTAGTCCAATACCTCATCGAGACAAGAAAACGCGTTATATCATTTCTTGGGTCATCCACGTGTTTTTACTTTTCCTTTTTTTTTTATGCTTTTGCTTTTGGGTACATATACATCATGATTTTTAGATTTTTGGCAAAAAAAAAAACATTTTTGAATAGTCATTACATTTTATATTGAAATATGCTCATATAGAGACAGAAATGTCCATTATATATAAACTTATAAAATCACACAAGTCAATATGCACAATTAATAATTCTCTATTCTCAATAAGTTCTAAACTGTTGATTTAACTTTTTTATTTAGACAAAAAAAGTCGATCGGGGCGATTATTAAGTATATCTAGTAGTTGAATCCAAAAATCTACTTGGACACACGAGAATTCCACTTGATTTTATTTAACGTGTCAAGTGGACTCCACTTAACATGTAAATATGCAAATGGAATCCTTATATATCCACAAGAAGCTTCACTGTTGATCTTGGACTAACTACTAGTAGTTGTTTCGAGAACCGACATACAATTTCTAGTTTAGTTTAGTTTTTGGAGTATAATTAACATTTCTTTAAGAATAATGTAGCACAGAGTAACACCATACAAGAAATAGTAGTATTTTCTCGTGAATATGATGTATTTAGTGGAGTTCTTATTGGAGTTTAGTATAGATTTTTGGGCTTTGCTTTTGTTTGGACAAATGACTTGGGATTTTCCCTTCGATTTTGATCTAAAAATTGACGACTCACCTAAATAAGAACTTAGGTAGGTAGAGACTATCGGCATGGACTTTGGATCCCCAACACTTTCGCCATCGAATGGATTCTACTACTACTACTACTTTTTTTTTCCTTTTTAAATTCATATGACGGGGGCCCACAAAGCTTCACAGAAAACACACTGCCCCACACGGATTTAAGACTCGATTTTCCTGGAGTCAGTTGCTTTGCTCATTGCCCTCTGTACTACTATGAGATTGCGGGTGGGGTCCCCAATCCCCATATGGTGACCGGTAATTTGCAATTTTCCAATGTTTTTAAACTCGGACCGGTCAGTGAACCGGAGAGGTTGCCGGTTCGCGGTCCGACTGATTCGACCGGTCCAACCGGCCGGTTCACAGGTTCACTGATTTTTTTTTTTTTTTTAAGTGTTAAGTACTAAACAGGTTTAATTCTACACTTGAACTTTACCAACATAACTTAATTTAAGTTATGATAATAATAAATTTCCTAAAAGTTATACATAAAACATGGAATGATAAATATAATTAAAATATCATAATTCACCACAAGTTTTCATAAATTCATTATAAACATAAATAGATACAATCCAAATGTTCACCAATTATCACAAATAAAAACACAAAAAATAAATAAATTAAATATTGAAATTCTTTTACAACCCTTAAAAAAATCCATAAAAGAGTTCAAGTTAAGACAAATAATTTGAATAGCAAACTTTTATGAGTGGCATGATAAGCAACCACAGCACCTTCACAATTTAATCAACTTAAGCTGAAAAAGTTAAAATTTTATTATAAAAATATAAATCTAATTGCTCAAATTAAAAAAAACTAAAAATTTTTGAAAAACAAATATACAGTTAAACACATAAAAAATTAATTGCTACTAAACATTACTAATTAACATGTTATATTAAATTCAATGATCCTATACCATTAATTATTTTAAATTCAATTATCAGTAGCTTCGATTATGTGCTAACTATCATATTTTTGACCAGCCCAATGTTATTATTTATAATTCTTACCCAATTCCTACATGGATGTGCACTACTTTTGCAAAAATTTCATCATTAATTAATCAAATAAAAATAAAACAAAAAATGAGGGAAACATATGAAAATTGAGGGGAAAAAGAAGAAAATGCAAAAAAATCAACTAAAGATAATAATATAGAAAAAAAAACCTTGAAAAGAAAAAAATTAAACTTACCAAGATGTTGGAAAACAAGAAAAGTCGAATTTTCAACTTGTTTACAATCTGCTAAAGATAATAACCTGATAATAATGGTGAAGACTTGAGAAAATCTTGTTGTGGATATTTGGGTTAAAAATGGTTAAGAAGAAAAAATTGAAAAAAAAAATAAGAGAAGAACTTGATGTTTTAATATATTTTTTAGTCAAGTAGAATTCTCAACAAACTTAACTACAGTCTAGCGGTAAGATTGTCATATGCAAACTTGGAGACTCGAATTATGGCTACACCATTCTTGATATTTTGTTGAAAAATTTAAAAAACCGCCGATTCACGGTTCTTAACGGTTCACACGGTTCATCCGGTTCGTCCGAGTTTCAACGGTTCTCCATGAACTTCCGGCTTTAGCATTAGACCGGACCGGTGACATGGCCGGTTCGCGGTCCAACTGGTCGAACCGGCCGGTCCGGTCCGTGTGAGAACCCTGAAAATAGATATATAAGCCAGTGCATATTTCATTTGCATTTTTTTTATTCCTTAATAATTTCTAACATTACCTTTACTTGTTCGCAATTAAGTACGTAAAAATAGATTTATGAAAAAAATAATATAATTTTCCTAAGTTATGAAATTTCTTGGTTTTGCTAGACTAAATTAAAAATCTTTAGTGTTAGATTAATTTTTCGCCTTAACATAAAATGTTAGAATACTTAATTCCTTTATGCTAAAGTAATGATAATGGAATCGATAGATTTACTATCTTTAAATAAATTATTTAAGTTCCTATGATTAATTCCAATTAGTTGCTAATGTTAAATGTTAATAGGAATTTCCGCGTTAAGATAAAAATCAATGAATTTTAGATAAATATGATATTCCTATACTAAACATACTTAAGGCATGAAAATTCGATAAATATATCATTATCTTTCTTTATTTTTATAATAAGTGCGTAAAAATAATTTTATGGGCAAATTGTCGCACTTGTATGAAATTATTATTTCACTTTACTTTATATTACTAAATCGATAAATTTTGTGTAGGATAACTTTAATTCTTGAGAATAAATAATTGGAGATGCGGATAATTAAGTTAATCGCTAAATAATGTTAGGAACCTTAATATTTAAGTTTAATCGATATTTATTCGATAAAAATGGTTAAGTATATTGGGGGGTTATTAGGCGTTCAAATCACTCTTGAGGATAAATCTTAGAAATTAAGTTGAGATTAGAAAACAAAGTGAAAAGACTAAAAGACCCTTACAATTTCATACGAAACCAAACGACCCCTATGACAAAATTCCCATCACCGCAACTTCGACCAATTACATTTTAACCAATTCGATACGCAAACCTTTCGTAAACCGCGGCACCACAAAACCACTTGATCAAATTCACACTACATCTCACAACCATTTCAGCCGACTCTTTCTCTGCACAAGCCAAATCCGCAATCCATTGCACTCCAAATACCACGATACCAACCACTCTACTCTTTCATTTTTGATTCACAACAAAACCTCATTTCTTCCCTGCCTTGTCCGAGAGCATCCGAGAGAGTGAGAGAGCTGCTGGAAATTTTTGGTCCTGCCGTGAGTAGAGCAAAGCCAGGAAGGAGAATCTGCAGGAAGCTACACCATCTCACCTTCATCCGCAACCCAATTCCAGCCGCAACTCAAACCAGGACCACGTCTGAACTTGGCCGAGAGTGAGGGAAGACATTTCTGGAAAATTCGTGTGAGGGTTTAGCTATTAGCTGAGGTAATTTCTGAACTAAATAAGTTAATTGCTAGTGAATGAAGCCATATCAGAGGTTGTATGGGTTGATTGTGTAGTTGGATGATGAAATCAAGAGTTGAGAAAAAAATTCTGTTTTGGCTTGAAATTTTTGCCGAGAGGTTTCTTGATTAATGTAGCCTGATTTGGTTTAATGTTGTTATTTAAGCTTATAACCATAACTAGTTACTTAATCACAAGTTAATTAGGTTCTGCTTGCGGCTAATTAGTTAGTTAAAAAAAAAAAATGAAATCAAAGAGCAATCTGCCAAGCATGTTCATCCGAGTCAGGCAGGAAAATTTTTGAAAATTTTGATGTTCATGGTTGTTATGTGAACTTGATTTCCAAACTGGAAATGTTAATCAGTGGTTAAGCATATGCATATTGAATTTGAGCTCCTAACACCTTGACTTAACCAAGGAAAATCTGGTTTTAAAAATCATTTTTATTTGCTGGAAAATTTTAGCAAAAGCCGTGAGGTTTAAATCTGGAAATTTTGGGGGTTTGTAACCATGACTTAAACTCAACTCTTGATCTGGAAATGTCTATTGTCTAGTTAAGTATTTGTAATTAGGAGTTGAGAATTTAAAAGCATGTTTTAAACCAGAAAATGAGACGAAAACAGAAAATTTCTTCATGCACGATTCACGTAGCTTGTTGAACAGAATTCTGAAATTTTTGGAGCGTTTGAACCTGCTATTCGAATTCGACTTTCAACCAAAAATATTAATTGGTTAGCCAAAGGTTCACATGATGAAGTTGAGAATCTAAAACCATGTTTAGCCGAGGAAAAAATTTGATTTATAAACACCTCAATGCTGGGGAAAAAAAAATTTCTGGAATAGCCGAGAGGCTTGATCAGAAAATTTCAGTTGTTTTCTTTTGAACTTTAAATTATTTCTGGATTTTTCCTTGGAATTTTAATGGTTGAGAAATGCAGAGAAGTTGTAAGCCTTAAGTTGTGTAAGTCGGTTAGCAATGAAAATATTTGAGATATATGGAATAGTGGAACCAGAAAATGTGAGTTATACATGTGGAAATTTTTGTGTGATAGCCAAAGGGTAAGTTGGAGCCTTAACTGGATTTTTTTTTTATTTGTTCCTTGAAACTTGATGGATGGAAACGCCTGGAAAATATTGTTTTGGAGTTCTACAAGAAGTGTATGGATAGGTTAAATAAAAACATGTTGGTGTTAAAAGAGAAAAAGGAGTTTTCACAAGTGAAAAACTGAAATTCCAGATTTTTGGATATCTCTGACCAGTCTCAACGAAATGGTTATATCTTGGTGTGGAAAAATCCGTTTAAGGCGCCGTCAGTGGCGTTCGAAACTAGAAACATAGGTCTTTGTCCTGTAAAAATTTCATATTTTTCCTCCATGTGTACTGTTGCCGGTAAACCCTCAAAGTGGACTGTTTGGACGGATGTCCTGTTTCTTCGTGAAACTGAAATTTGGTTTGGATGGATATTTTAGCTTACTTGTGGTATAAATTCTTGATTTAAATTGTGGATTGGAAGTAATTGATGTTGTCAAGGGCTAATGATTGATGAAGCCTTGGCCATTTGAATGACTTTATAATTACTACTGGAAGACGAAAGAAAATTTCTGGAAAGTCTTGGAAGCTTTACTTTTATTTTTAATTGCTTATGATGGGATTTCTGAAACCAAGTGCTAATGATTGATGAAGCCTTGGTTGATTTATTGAAAATTTATTGAAGGTGGGCTCTATGAATTCCCACCCTGAATGGATAACTGAATTGCTGAAATTGTTTAGACATCTGCGCTACTATTTTGTAAAACTGTGAGTTGATATAAATTGTTGAAGCACAGGGCTATGAATTAACGAGCCCTAGTGTTATTACGGTTTAAGTTCTAATTGTGCAATATTGAGAAAATGTGATTTTTGGATTGGAATCGAAAATGTGAGAAGTTGTACCAACCTTGTGACTCCAAGTAAACGCTTGACTAAGTAATTGAAAAACATTTTGCTCTAAGTCTTGAACGGTACAATTTTAGCATAGTACGACTAAACATAGTGTCTAATATTATATATATATTTTTTTGACTTAAAAACTTGGGCAACATGACTTTTAACCCTTAAGTTAGACTAGCCTTATTTATTTGGGAAAAATAACTCTCCAAGACTTAAAACCTTAGTTTGTTTCAATTTCCTTCCTTCTTTATAAATCGTTTAAGGCTAGTTGTAACTAAGGAAAAGTTTTAAAGGGTGAGTCTTGATCACCTTAGCTATATGTATAGAAACTCGCTCGGCAAGAGAGACATTATTTTCTTTTAGCAAAACAGCTTTAGCAACGTTTGTATAAGAAACCTTATCTTGAAGCCTTAGCAATAAATTTTGCAAGCACCACCACTCAAAAGAACTTTTTCTCAAGGTATACTCTTAGCCTCGATATTAAATAGCTTGCCGACTTATTTTAAGAAAATAATAATAGTATTTTCTTTAAGAAAAGTATTCCAAGGAAAAACTAAAGGAAACAATTCTTCTACTTTCGTCAAGATTCAACCTATGGAGATTCTTGATTTTTCTAAGGGAAAGTGAACTAGTAGTATATTAGATATACCTCTATATCTATAAGCTTAAAGACTGAGTAGAAACTTATAGTTTCAAAATTTGGTTTTTAGGATACTGCGAGGACGCGGAATTCGATTCCCAACTTGATATCTAAACTTCACTCTGGGTGAGTGTCCCTGCTTGTTCTATGCTTAACCGTTTAAAGTGCTTTCTTGACTTGATATGTGATAATTTGAAAAATTGGTTTCTGATCCATCGAAGTGAGCTGTGTGTACTTTATCGCACTAGCCGTTCGAGTGGTGACTTGTGCAAAAACATTTTTCTTCTGAATCCATAAATCTAAAATGTAGTTGCGTCGTTGGGTGAATCCCTCGACTTCTGTATCCAACTATCATAAATCTAAAATGTAGTTGCGTCGTTGGGTGAATCTCTCGACTTCTGTATCCAACTACCATAAATCTAAAATGTAGTTGCGTCGTTGGGTAAATCTCTCGGCTTCTGTATCCAACTACCATGACGGGTATATCTCGAGTATACTACGTCCTTAGTCGGTGAGCGGGCCCGGGACAGGGGTATGAAAGGTGACGGGTTAGGATCAAAATGAGTGAATGTACATGGTCTCTAAGTAGTGAGAGTTGACGGAGGGTCAACTACGATGAATGGTGTTCAAGCGAGGAAAATGGCTCCTGAGAGCCCCTGTATCCTACCTTGTGCTGTTATACGCTTTCCTAACTGTTTAAATTTGCTGAGTTATTATCCGCTGTTTGTTATTACGTGATTGCATGTTTTGGGGCACCACTGAGCTTTAGCTCACCCCACGTTTATTGTTTTCCTTAACAGGTTCTGGAAACTGAAAGCTGGACACTTACTTATGTTTTTCTTTTGGATTGTATTTGAATATTATGACTTATTCTGTGGGCTGTAATGTGTTATCTGGGATAATGTATTTTTCCTTTTTGGATTGCCACTTGAAGCTGGAAAATGTGTAAACCCTAATTCGATTACTTGGTTTGTAAGTTTGTAATAGAGATTTATGGATTTTATCTATCCGGTTTGTTACGACTTATTTCTTTGATACGTAGCATGTAGGACGTTTAAGGGCCTCGACTGGTTATTTTTATCACTGCTATCTCTGAAGTTAATGTGGCTTTAAGGATGATCTTATTCGGGGAAAATTGTTTTGTAATATATTAGGTTATTCTTCGAAAGGTTCGGGTTAGATTGCTCGCATGAGTCTTGGCGAGAGTTGGGCAGACGGCCCGCCAACCCTTTGGTTCGCCTCAGGGGGAAGTGGGGTCGCCACAGTCCGGTTCTGAAAACACTGCAATTTTCAACTCTCACAGTTTTGCCCTGCTGCGTCCGGCGCACCTGCCCTTCCAACGGTTTGAATGGGTCGCGTCATTTCGTCTTTGATCTCAGCCGTCTCTTTCAAAAATTATATGTGTTTTTTTTTTCAAAAAAAATATTTTTCAATTAAACAATTTTTTTAAGTGTTTTTTTTCAGACTTTTAAAGTTAGTTAATTAAAACCTTCAAATCTTACGAGGGAGGGAGAAAAGGAATAGGAAAGGCTTGACGGTCAGAACCTAGGAAGGAAAAGTTTTTGTTCTTAGCTCCGCATAGTTGATGCTATGTTACTAAAACATGAAAGAATATGAATTGATAGTTTTGGTAGAAAAATTTTAAAATATTTTTTTAATACATTTTTCAAACGTCATTGTATTTCACATATATTACATTATTACATTATAATTTTCTACAAAAAAAAATAAACTTAAAAAGATGGCAATCCAAATGAGACTGAAATCAATTTTTATGTGTATGACTTCTTAAAACGAAATTCCTAAAGTATATATATATATAGGCTAAGAGTTTATGTCTGATAAAAGAGGGTGCAATTCGACAATCTTTCAGATTTTTTTATAGCCGTCCAATTGAAAATTTGAAACTGAGTTATCTATATAAGATAAACATAAAAGAAAAGATTTAAGCACTATTTAAATTGTAAACTGAACCAGAGTCAATAGATTAAGACCCGTTAAGAATTTGGTGTGGTCTGCCTTTTGGTGGACAGTTTTACTGCCATTAATCCATCACTTGTTTATCCCTCTTTACATTTCAGTTTCTGCGTGAAACTTGTAATTAACCTTCTAATACCAAATCAATATGTGTGTAGACTGTACACATTGAATATTATTTGAGATAATTTTTATTAAAAAATACTATAATATATTTTTTATATAATGTATGTAATATAAAAATAATTAAAAATATATGTATCATACGAGCAAATAAATTTACGTAAATAATTTATTATCCAGACACAGTAGTCTTTACCGTACGCCTGGAAATTGGAATGGGAGGGGACGAAAAGAAAAAGCTTTGACACAGTGACATGCAATGGCTCCTCACATCTTTTCTTCTGTGGATGAACGAAAAAATCCATTTGCGTTTCGATTGACAAGGTACCAGCTATCCGACATAGACGGGTTATTCTTGCTTCGAACACAAGCATTTCCATAACTATTGATGATGTCTCTTCGGGGACATCCGATAACTATTTGATGGTGGGGTTTTGATGGTTTCTCTGCCTAATTTTCTAGATACAAAATGATACGAAAGTGATTCTTGTAACGGGTGTTAATTTGGCTCGGCACTCGTAAGCATATTTAAATTACACTTAATTTATCATGTAATTTCACACATTCACATTTATTATTACTGTATTTAGACCATTTTTTTTCACATTAATTTTAATTTTGTAAAAATATAACATCTGAAATCTCTCTTAACGAGTGCTCCTACGTTCATATAAAATAATAATTAATGTCTTTTGGTATGATAGTTTTGTCACAAGTACCTAATATTGCATTTCAAGATTCTTAAAAAGGATCTACATGTTTGATGTTACTCTTCATCCTAGTTAAGATTGAGGTCCTGAAACTTTTTAATCAACCAAGATTCAAGGTTCTACAAAATAGTGGTGGAAAAAAATGGCATTGCATTTGTATAATCTTCCGTGTTCTGGGTGCTCCAATGATCCTTTCCATTAGCAACTAATTTTTTTTTTTTGAAAAAAGATTACAATTCAAACAAACCCAATTGTTTGACAAAATTTCTCAACTGCTTTGTAATTCCAAGAATTCTCAAGACCAACATAGAGTTTAAAGGCGAGAATCACAACTCTGACAGTAAAGGATTATATTAATTAGTGCGTTTGGATTGTTGAATTATCTCAAATAATATTTCACTTCCATCATAAACATATTTTTTCAATATACTTTTTTTTAATATTTTCAACTGCCTTTTTATCTCATATACATCACATCACAAAAGTGTTACGGTAATTATTCCAAATAATACTCTATCCAAACACTTAAACTCGGACCGGAGAGTGAATCGAAAAATTCATCCGATTCACGGTTCGACCGGTTCAATTCCAGTTCAAAGGCTTAACAAATTTTTATTCATTTTAGTATTAAAAATATTGAATAAAACTAAAATATTTATCTTGGAGACTAAAGATTTAATAAGTACCGGTTGAACCTCTCAATTTTTATCAGTTTTACTAGTTCAATCGACTCTTGACCGAGTTTGACTGATTCAATTGATTTTTTAGATTATTAATTGAATTGGATTGGAGGCATAGACAGTTCGTGATTCGATCAATCGGTCTGGTCTGATTTTCGAAACACTGCTGCAATAAAGAAACTAAATGCAGCCTAAGGGCTTATCGAATGACAAGTAAAACATCTGACCGAGTTAACCGTACATCAAAGAGTACTGAAGAAAAAAAAAAAGATTTCATCCCAATTTGCACGTTATACATGCACTTAAGATTATTAAGAAAACACTGAGGATTACAACTATCAAAGCAAGCTAGGTTGAGTTGCTAACTTTACCAAGAACATAAAGCATGCCGTGAACATTATTAATATATAGTTGCAAAATCTTTTATCTTGAAATTACTGATGCACATGCTGTATTAAATAGCCAAATTGTTCAGATAGACCAATAATTCACAATGAGCAGAATAACAGGTCGTCAACCTAGGAAGTAGTAAACTAAAAGTCGTTTTTAAATAATTAACTCAATACCATGAGTTAATTGGACACACACACACTATATCTTAAATAAGTAAATAATTAGTGTCGAGGGAGAGGATAATTAGTAGGTAGAGAGAGTGAATAACTTTTTCTACAAGAGTGAGTATGGAAGAACATTCCAATCATAGAGAAATGCTTTTTAATTTTCCATGAAAGAAGACTTCACCCCTCGAATGGGTCTTTTCTGTGCCAAATTTTGGTGGGAATATTTGGTGTTTCCCAGCAACCTTTTCTGACAATCGCGTACATACTTATGTTGACTGAAAGGTGAAAAAAAGGTTTTAAAAAATGGTTTTGAAAATGAAGTGAGGAGAAAAAGATAGAACTTGAAAAGGGCAGGCTGCATTTTGAAGGGTTTGTATGCTATTCACTTCCACCTTCAACTTTATGTTGGGAAAAGCACATGGAGGCATCAGTACACGAGTCAAATATAGCCATTCGGTGATGTTACACATTAGACTATCATTACAAATCAATTTCCCTTGTATTGAGTTGATGTGTAGAATGTTTCCCTTTGTAGCCAAATTAGAGATTTTTCGGTTTGAGTTACAAATTAGTAGTGATTCATATATTGAAGAAGTATTAACGCGCTTGTGGTGTTAAAAATCATCTCAAAATGACTATAAGATTTGACAAAGCAATTCTCGAATTATTTTGGGGATATAATACTCATTTCTTCAATCACATATATATATATATATATATATATATAATTGACGAGTATATTTAACGAGTGCACATCAGACACTTGTTACGATGTATTCTAGTGTAAAATTTTTAAGCGCTTGGCAAGTGTCATTTCCGTTCAACTGGGAAATGGGAATCATAGCATGCAAAAGGTACCAAACAAGTGTAGCAGATTTTTTTTTTTTTTTTCGCAACGGTAGATGTCCTATAACCTAATCTAACCTAATTTAGGGGGAAGGGATAAAGGGAGATGGTCAACTAAAACCAATCACATATTATGGCAAATTTGAGGGAGGCAGGGGTTAAACCCCTGATTCCAGCATCACTAAAGAGGGTGATAACCACTGGACCAAATTGACAGTGGCAAACAAGTGTAGCAGATTGCTTATGTTAAACTTGGAACTCTCAGTCAGTACTGTTGCAGAAATTCTAAAGCACAGTCGAGTCCAAGACACAACATGACGGTATAACCACCTCCACATAATTAATTAATCAAAGCAGTTTAATTGACGGGACATTTTTTTAAGCCAAAAACAAAAAAAAGTTAGCTCGAATTTCTAGGCAAAAAGCAAAAGATACCCACCTAATTCCTCACTTAACTTTTTAAGAACGAATTTTATACATTTTCTTTCTGGTAGAAAAGGATGTGTCTGTGTACCTCATATTGGCGGTATAATACTCGTCTGGTCTACAAAGTCTATAATGATATTCTGAGGAGGACCGAGCAGACTGCTCATCTCATCTTCATATAATTGCATTGTACTATTCTAAAACAATTGCAAAATTTTTCTCCCTTGTTTTTTTGTCGGCAATAAGAATAAAATTGGAAAGTATAATGCACTGCAGTACCCAATCAATGCTCTTCTTTTATCCAAGAAAATGAAGAAGAAAGAACAGTCAAAGGTGGTTGTTTGTCTGTTTGTTTGGATGGAGTATTATTTGAAATAATTACTGTAACACCTTTTGTAATATGACGTATGTTAGATAAAAAAGTATGGTTGAAAATATAAAAATATGAGTTGAAAAATATATTTATGATACAAGCGGAATATTATTTAGGATTTACCGTCTGGTAAAAACGACAGCAGTGCAGTGGACTAGACATTTTCTACTGACTCGTAGAAGTTAAATTTGGAATTTTGGTAGTCAAGTGGAATAATACTAGTAAGGTAATAGATATGTATGTAGAACCAAGTAAAACTTGGATCCATTCAAATCACTAGAATGTTTGTTAGAGCAGCATCATTTGCTGTTGTGGATCAATCGATAATTATATATGCTGTTGTGGGTTCCGCTTCAGCTAATGTCAAGATTAACTCTCTTTTTAAGTGCAATTTAAGTAACAAAGAAGTTAAAAGAACGAGAGAGGGAGTCAGATAGAAATTGGAGTGACAAAGAGGTAGAAAGTGTTCCATAGCCCTCAAGGAATGCTCCAACCCTAGTAATGCATATCCACTTCAGTTATCTTTCTTCCGCGAGCAATTGATTACTAATCAATTTCCTTGATCTTTCTCGATTTGTCATAACCGAAAAAGATGTGTGCTCAGCTCATTTGAGGGGAAATTAGCATACAACTATCAAAGACATAAACTAATAACAATTCTAGTTTCATCTTTTGAGTTAATAAATGACTAGAATGGCAAGTATAAAGACATGGGAAAGGAACAAAACCAACTACCATCAGCCAACCAAAAATGCATTAAACTTTGCAGAAACCTAGCCAAATGAATTTAAATGTCGTATGCCAAAGTATCCCTTTTATTTTCTTTTACGTGTAGAGCATAAACATATATAGTTTTGTCTATCTTAAGCAGTCGAGATATTTCTAATTCGACTCTCAAGTTCTTAAAATTTTTTGTTTAAAATATGCATATACAGACACAGTCGGGATAGGAGGATAGAATTGTCGTGTGATTGGTGCAAGACGATCAAGAGGCTGTCTTTACCCCCGCATTTGGCGCTGATGTGTAATTCTCAGTTCTCCCGTAGATGGACGGATAGATACTCTACTCCCACTAGTACGTACTATATCTATATGTGCTGCGTCGAGCCATCTGACTGACTGACTTGTTGAGTGTACAAAACAAATACCACTAAAAAACCCAGTCAGATCAAAATATCAAATGTGTTTCTTGGCCTTTGGGTCTCCTCCAACCCCGTAGGCTGCTCTTGGCCTTTTCTACATTTTTTCTCCCACTCCACAGTCTATACACCCACTCTTTTGGAGGGCGGGGGAGGAAAATGTAACACGAACAAATGTGCAAGTAGCATGCAATTGACTACAGTACAACAAACAAGTCCTTATAAAATGACCACAATTATCACTCCTATTATTAATTACACGTTCCTCTTTTAGGCCTCCTCCACCCGACTCCCCTTGTCTTTCTCCCTTCCAAGGCTTCGACTTTATCCATCATCAATTTAACTTGCTACAACTGCAGCAGCACTATGGAAAGCCAGAGGGGTCCTCTTCTGAATTGGCCTTACTTCTACCAAGGAAAGGTTAGGCATTATGTATATCTTCAATCCATTCATTTGATCTGATGAGAATTGTAATGTGTACTAAAGATGTTTGTTTGGCTGAAACAGGGCATGGATGAACTGAGGCAATCACTTCTGCTGACTACTATGGAGCTGGAGAACACGAGGCTAAAAGCACAAGAGGAGCTCAAAATGAGAGATGATCAGCTATTTCAGCTCAAAGATTTGCTCTCAGCAGAACCATCAAAGAAAGGGATGAAGCACAAGAACAATGCCAAAGACTCGTGCTTGATAAGCTACTGCTCCAGCAGCAGCAGCTGATGCTTCACGCCAGAATCAGCAATCAGCACCCCTCTCTGGAATTTCAAGCATCGAAGATGAGCCCAGAAGAGGAGGAGGAGGAATGGACTCCAACAACGGCTTTTCTTCCTCCGACTGCGAAGAAAGCATTGTTTCATCGCCAATTATTGAGCAAAATCCGCCGCAAGAATTGACTTATCAGCTTCAAGTTCAACCACAACATCCCACAGCAGAATTAGACCCAACATTGCCTATTTTGACAGACAGGCCATTGCCTGAAAAAGGGCAGTTCTTGCAAGCTGTTATGAAAGCTGGGCCGTTGCTTCAGACACTTCTTTTAGCTGGCCCTCTCCCACAGTGGCGCCACCCCCCACCACCACTCGACTCCTACCAGATTCCACCGCCACCTACACCTCCAACACTATCGGGTCACTCCCTAAATCAAGATTCTTTACTCACCATTGCTGCCTACAATAGTAACATTAACAACTGTGGCAGAATGAACAGGAAAAGGGGTTACTTTGAGGGCTCTGATTCTTCAACTGAAGCCAAGTATCAAAGGCTCGTTCTTCAATGACTAGTAGTGCCGTTAATCTACTTCCACCCCATAAAGCAGAGTGATACAAGTAGTTCTTTTCTTAGAGGAGGCTTGGAGTACGATTTTGGAACCTGGGGTCAACTGATCATATACTAGCATTCTGTACATAGTTCAGAAATTCTTGAGTTAAGAGGCTGAAAAGATCAGAGTTAATCAGCTGTAGGAGAAGACTAGGGAGACAGGGATGTTTGTTGTGGTCCTGTTTTTTTACTTTTCAGCTTGTTTCTGCCTCAGTATTGGTTGGTTTGTCTGCTTCACCAGTGTCAAAATTCCCTCTACCTTGTGCAAAGGGGATTTGATTTTCCAATATAATTACAAGGGGATATTTTGCAGATTCGACGTGCAATTCAAATATTGTTGAGTTTGGTTAAGTATGCAAGTAATAATGCAACAATTTTGTCGCTCATAATTTAGTCATGATGCAGATATATGATGAATAAGAAATGCATGCTTGTGATTTGCTCAAGCGAAAGGGGCTATCAGCAGAATTAACTTGACTAGCATGGTCGTACAAACGTTCACTCAACCTGCAATGTCTGATGTTCCACCAGCTATAGTTTCTTGACAATGTGTCATGCAGTGGGAGGTGGGAAAATAGAGTGGGGAAAGAGGGGTTGTGGGGGTTTGGAGGAACATCAAAATGTTTATGTAAACGGAACATCAAAATGTTTTTTTTTTTTTTTAAAAAAAAAGAAGATCATGAAAAATGGTATTTTAGAACGTGGATTGGTTACATTGGAGGATAGCAGAAGGCCATAGCCAAGAGCCGCTAGGTCCAGGAGAGCCTTGTTGTCGGGTCGAGTGGTTCCCACAAATCAGAATCAGGATCTACTACTTGTGTGTGATTTATTATTTTAAGTGGATTTGATGCATCTCAAATCATTTTTAGGTACATTTTGATCCAAAGTTTTCTTTAATACTGCTGCTACTGCTTTCCCCATTTCTCCATCCACCCCCACTCCCCTCATATTTGGTTAGCTAATTCCAAAAAGTTCAGTAATTTTCTTGTGCCGGTCAATTACAGAAGTCCAAAGCAAAGGCAAATACAAGTGTGAGTGCGTGCTGCAGTTTCTTTCTTATGTTCACAGGACATCCAATTGTTAATAGACTAATAGTATGGACGCAGGGAATAATCCAACCTCGTCCTTTGGGCTGCTTCTAAGTGTTGCCATTTCAGAATATAGACTTCGGAAGTTTTCACTGCCGTTTCCTATGGTCCGAACACAAGCTACAAAGGCCAATTTTGCATTTTTCATTTCTCTTCCTTGTCACTATCCTTCTAAAAACAACCAATTTCCAGCTCATGGGAGTGCGGAGCAAGGCAAAGAAAGAGCCTCTACTCAGAAGAAAAATGAAGAGTCGAGTCGAGTCAAGAGTCTAAGGTCCGATATTTTTAGTAGAACCATAGAAGATCAGCTATCAGACATTTTTAGCAGTGACTTGCTACATTTGATCATGCGCAAGTGTGAAAGAGGATAACGGTTTAGGCATCTTGCAAATGTTCTCGACTCCTGGGGTAGACACTTTAGACCAGAAACTCTCTTCTCTTCGTTGCAAAAATTAACGGCAGAGTTTCAAAAAATCCAATCCGCCCTGGTGGCAGAAGTTTCTGCTACCTGATGATGACTAGAAAGAGTCAGATGGAAGTACTAACGCGATTGCGGTTCTTTGACTTCAAAAGTCTTTTAACGAACTCTAGCAGCCTCCAAAGGGAACGCTCTCAAGCCTGAGACCCATCCTTTTCAATCCCATACCTAACCTACCCCCATCCATGCCTAATGCGCGTTTAACCAACATCATTGCCAGGTTTACTAACGTTTCCAAATCCCACAGCAGGCACAGCAAGTAATCATTGGTCCCAAGAACCCAAGTCTGGTGCCCCAAAGAAAATTTGAGAATTGATAGAGAAAGACAATATCGTGCTAATCACCCCAGACGTAGATATGAAACTGTGAAGAGGCATTCCAGTTGTATCACAACTGGTAAACTTGAAATCCAAAACCCAACTGCGTTTTCCCGTGGAAACGCGATGTCTTCTTCCTCTTGACAACATATGCACAAGCAGGTCAAGTAAATACTCGGTCTCCAGCTGTAACATGTGCCATTTTCTAGAACACATTCAGACCAAGTAATAACCTGAGGGATAATGCTCCCACCGTATAAGCAACAGTCTTGGAAGTCCGTCTTTCTTTTTCTTTTTTTCCGCCTTCTTTCCTTTGCCCAGATATAGATCAAATTATACATGTAACAGCTGGAAACTGCTAAAGCCAGATTTTAAAATGAATCAACAGATTATATGGGAAAACTGGAACAGCAAATAAAAGGTTCCGAGTATTGCAGCGCATCTCTATCTTTCATAGCAATAGAAGAAAGTTTACAGCAGATAGGAGGGTCTGCAACTTGAAAACCAGAACTGTCACCTCTCGAATTTTGGGTATCAGTATTGGAAGGATGGGAAACCAGCATTAGAATGATGACAAACTTAATACCAAAATGGCAAAATCCTAAATGTGTGCGTGTGTGCGCGCGTGTGAGAGAGAGAGAGAGAGGGAATCCCCACCAAACAAACACACACCACCACAAAAAAAAAAGTTGCAAGACACGGATATGATTGTGAAATAAATACAGGGTTTTTATCTAAAGATGCATGCAATCAAAAGTATCTGGACAGGTTTTAACATTATTTTGGTAGCTGTGACTCATAAATCATAATTCAAGAAATTAAATGGGTTTTAAATGACATGTGCCATCGGTTATATTACTCGCACTGTGAATATTACTTAGATCAGTGAAACCAATGCATCAAATTTGACAATAACACAAGTTTGCAGAGGGCACGACTTACTTTTGTGGATGCCCAGACATGCACAATAGGCATCATTTCTATAAATGAACTAAAATATCCAACTAATTGCTTTCATTATTGCTCATCATCATCGCGGTTACTTTGATTGTGTTTCTGAGCTCTATAAATATCTGCTACCTGCAATCCAACAACAATTCAGAAAGAGGCCCAGGCAACATTTCATTAATGTGCGAAAGATTATCAGTGAATTAATAAAGAACCAGCAATCAAAAGATTTTTCTTTACCATATCAGCAGAAGAGGCATCCTCTGGATTCTTATCTTCTCGAACCCGTAGTAAACGTGGAAACCGAAGAGAAATTCCCTTTGGAAAATTAAAATTAACAAGGTGAAGGGATATCAGATTTGAATCACAGGAACAAAATTTTTCATTGTCTAAGAATAACTCACGATCTACATAACAATAATCTCAACACCCGGTTTACCACTAGTTTGGTATGTCAGAGGAAAAAAAAGTGTCACGATGTGGCATGAAGTTCAACAGCCATATACACTTTCCTTTGGGGCACGACGAGGGGCAGCACTCCCTCCAAAATTGAATGAAGTCTAAAGATTTTACCATGTACATAATTTATTTTCAAAGTAGTCCTTTTTGACAAAAGGGTTTGCCCCTTCTAATGTTTTAAAAATCTTATAGCACTTAACAGAGCACCGCAGCCCCCCCACCCCCCCAACAACAAAAAAAACACCCAGCGGCTAACAAAAAGTCTTGGTTTTGCCAATGCTTGCAAAAAAGGATAGAATGATAGAAAAAGGGAGGAGAAAATGACCAGTAAAATTAATCTTAAGAGCTTAATCAAAGTATGATGGATTCACTGCCAGGAAGTTCAGATGTATTCTTTAACTTAATTGTACACGCTTGGAAGTAAACAAATACCTTGTCTGAATCCACAATACCAGTAGCAGCACGATGAACAGGACTGATAGTCAGATCAGCAGCTTTTACCTCCCAAACCTGAAGGAGTATGACTCAAAAGATCACTGTATGAGGCAGAACAATAATCTGCATAAAAAAGGAGCATGCTAGAAGAAAGTCTATATTCACAAGGAACGGGATTCCCACATGTACAACACGAAGAATGCTAATAAAGCATCCAACTTAAGTCTAAAAAAATGGATGTATCAAACAAAACCCATAGAGCAAGAAAACTTCGCTCCCAACATTTCTTCCTGAGTACAGAAACACTCTGGAAAAGAATATCACAAAACATTGGCATAGAATTATTGCATAATTCATTACGATCAATGAGAATCTCACAAAAGAATAGACATTGAGAGATTATGTGAGCCAGCTGGCACTGATGTAAAAAGCAGAGTAATGAAAAAAAGGAAGAAAATCACAAACAATGAACAGAAAAGGAAGCAGAGGATAACTTATACTACCTCAATAGGTTCAAACCATACATCTGGATTGATTGTATCTGAGTACCGGTAATAAGACTGGGATATCATTTAAATCCAGAAACATGTCAGAATCCGTATAAGGTTTACAGAAATACAAAATTCTTCCTATTCAATGAGGAAGTAAATGAAATACCTTTGGCTTGGGAATAACTTTAGAGCGCAAGCTGGCAGAGCGCTCTTCAAGCACAGCTTCAGAAAATCCAGTGCCTAAGCACAACCAAGAAGTTTCTTATCACTTGATGTCAAGGGATGTATGTATTTAGAGTTTAGACAAAGTAATTGAAGTTTCCTATCAAGGTAAATTTCACAGTGAACCATTAAGTAGGCACATTACCAATTTTACATATGCTCTGGAATTCTTCGTTGTTGACATCATAACAAGCAAGGAGAAAGGCTCCATAAACACCTAAAAATGGTTCAACAAAGTTATGAAACCAACTTCCAATAAATGCAGCAATACAAACCCAATTAAAAAGCAAAAGAGTATACACTGGTAACTATATCTGAAGCTAGGGTGAAGAATGTCAAGCATAGTGACACAAATCTGAATCTGAGCCAAAATAAGCGAATAATCACTTAGTGTCCTCTCAAAAATATGATATGTCAAATTACCAGTACGTTTTCCCCGGCCATGGAAAGCAGCAATGGGAACCAAATCCAGTGAGTCACCCGTACTGCAGATCATATAAGGTGAAAAGTAAGTTTTCATCCTTGGTTGCTTTTCAAATTTCTGTAGTAATCCTTTCTCGTCGAGGCTACTACAGCATGCCATGATCATTCAGTTTCTATATTTATGTTTGACCTTCTTCTTGACATTCCAAATCAATTACTCGGGGCAGAAGTTCAGCAAATTTAAGGTTGATCTAGTATTTCATCCATCCCTTTAAATGTGTGCTTGCTACCAATCCAGTATTTCATCAATCCATTGAATGTAAATTTGCCATTTTTTGGATGTATCGATTTACCTAAAAGGTAAAATTGCTGAATAATTATGCCCCAAAGGAATAGCCAGTGCTGTGAGTTCAATGCACATACCTATCCATGTAATCCTTTTTCAACTTCAGCCAGTTATTTGACCGCTTGGAAGGCTCATACGTGGCATCTTTCTTCAATGTCTTAATTATCAACCCCTCACAACTGCAAAGATGGATAGACAAAATAACAAACAGTTCTTGTAGAATCTGTAGAAACATTTTTGTTGATTCTGCAGAAAGAAGCTCCAAGCTAGGAGCCCTCAGGTGAAGCTAAGCACATCTCAACTTTGAAGCCAGAAAAAAGGGAGAAACTACTACTTCTTAGACAAATAATATTACATTTCACCATCTATTAATGCAGGGAAAAAAAGGGAAAAAGAACTCCTTAGACCACAGCACATTAGGAACATATAGCAAGAAAAAATGACAGATGTACAGAGAAAAAACTGAATTAAATTATCTAACTAGTTGACTTTTCTGACCAGCCAAAATTCTAGTGCACTAGAAGCCATAAGGTTGGATGATCTTATATTGCACTAGGCAAGCATAAGATCATCGAATACAACAGGTTTGACCTAACAGAGAGAAACTGTATTGTACAAAACTTTGTCCACAGGCAAAAGTTGACAGATATAATAATTACGATTCCGCCAAGTGCAGAAGTCAAAGATTAAAAAAGAAAAATTCTAACAGTAAATAAAGTAGATTAAGCCAATTAGTAACAATACAATAAGGCCACGACAGGAAAATGATCTTGAACTCTGCAAAGAAGAGTTACCTGGCATCAACAGCAGCTTCAAGGAACTTCTGTATTTCCTCAAGATCATTTGATGTTACTGCTGTAGCAAATTGAAAAAAGCCAGGTTCTTCCTCAAATGACTCGTAAAGATGCTGCATAAAACCAGTCATAAAGAGTAAAGGAAAATAACATGACTACTAAAAGGTCGACAATCAGCATTAAAGATAATAGCCTGAGACATGTTTACTGAGCAAGCACTGTCATTTGGATTCTTTTTAGTTTATTTCATCGTGGGAAAAGGAGAGGAGAGTCACAAGACGTTCTTTATGCGATACTCAAAACATTTTGGTCAAACCATTTTAGTAATTTGACTTTAAATAAAAAATCCAAGAGTCTTTTTACCCAACGCTAAAAGCAGATAAAGATATTAACATCATTGAACAAAAATTAGCATACCTGCCTTCGACTGTCAAGCTGTGCTTGTAGAAGAGGTTGGCCATTGATATACAAGATATCAAAAGCATATATGCAAACACCAACCTTTATTTCACTCAAGACCACATTTTTACGAGCCCGTGTGCTGAGGACCTGCCACCAATTCAATACTTTTAAGTCTGAATTTGTAATACCATTCTTACAACTCTAGTCATATTAGTAGCCCAATTAGTAATGAATCTACCCTTAGTCATATTCATCAAAATTTCACCACCTTCAAATATTTTAGAGCAGACACTGGACAGATCAAATTGGCCGAAACTTTAATACCTCAACAGTCAAAAATCTCCAGTTCCTATCAAAGAAAATCAAGAATTTTATGACATCAACTGACTCAAATGAAGCACCTGAAATAGATGCAAGAAAGAACTTGCACGTGTAGTTTTAAGATATCCCATAGGGGGACTGAAGGTGTTGGGAAGCATTTCATGGGCCAGGCCCCAGGCATGCCCCATTTAAGTTCATGATGAGATAGCCCATAACAGATAGCCCTAGGATTTTGAGCATGCTCAATACCAAGATGATTCTTACAGCACCCAAAGTTGACGAGTTCACAAACGAAAAACAAAGATGACTCGACCACTTTCTTCCCAATACAGGATTGAAGGAGATTTGTTACTTTGCCAATTTAATACTTCAGCATTGATTGTACATAAATTATTAACATTGTATATGTTGTTGTCATATGCCACAACAAAGATCATGAAGGCTACACAATAAGCAATGCTAGAGCCAGAATGGGAGACTTAAATCAGTTAGCAATCGATTTTTCTATTTAACTTCAATTGTTCTGATGTGCTAGCATAGTTAAAAGGACCACTTCAGCAGGCCCATGACAAAATCAGATTTACAAAGATCTTGCACTTAGGCAAGCTCAATATTACAGAAGTAAACAGTTCACCTGGAAGGGGAGAATTTTTTTCTTCTCACGATCAAATGCAACAATTTCACAATCAAGAACAAATGAGGTTACAGACGGCCTTTTAAACCTGCAATAAAACAGCTAAATGTCAGGAAAATTGAGAGAGATTTTCTGGCAGACTTGTAATGTTAGTAGGGAACAACTAGTCATTCTTAAAAATAAGCTCTACTGATATACTCTCATACCCAACTATGTAAATTATGTTTCTGCTCATTAAGAAAGCAATAGACTACAAAAACCCATCATGAGAAGGCCCACCACAGCAGTGAAAGTACAGTGCTAAGCTCAGACAGCCTTACTCAACCAAGTAAAGAGACTCTTCCTGTTCATCAAACCATTAACCAGCTTGTGACAGCATGTTCCAAATCAAAGTTTGAGTGGGCTACAATAAAAGTACCTTGAAATTGCATCCACAACATCAGGATACTTTCCAGTGTTTCTTTCTGCATTTCGACTATATATCTCCACTGTACCATCCTCCATGTAGTGAATCTGCAGGACATGGTTAGACAAACACACATCATCAAGACTGTGAAAGGAAAGGCATATAACATAGGCGTCATGTCTAGTTTCTTGCTACCTGAGCACGTTCTCCATCGTACTTGTATTCACAGGTGAATTCAATATCCTGAAACTTATCCAATATTTCAGAAACTCCCTTAGTTGGTTTTGCTAGCATAGGTCCAACAGGAACACCAGGTGAAAAGCTACATGTCTTGGGAAGATCCCATACACCATCAGCAAGAAGAGCAGAGATTATTTTATCATAGACTGGAATTACCGAGTAAACTTGTTTCACGATTTTAGCAGCCTGAGGGAAGGAAGGCAATTTCACAACATGTTTATGCAATAAACAAAAAACTCTCTTAAATTTGCACATAGTATTAGCATAATAATAAAATCTAATTAAAAAATTTATTCAAACTCTCTCAGAAGCTTAAATTCATGCCAAGATACCTCTTCTAAAGAAGAATCTATATTTGCAGGAGTTGAAGATTGCTTATCAGCATAAACTGCAGCATGGCCCAAAGCAGCTAACAGAGTTTGCTCAGCTAAACCAATGCGCAGTTTAGCCTGCATGTAGAGTTCAAGAATAATTTTCAGGGATTAAAGGTGCCAATTTGTGATATTAGATCTTCAATTGTCTCACCTGGAGCAGACGAATCAAGTACTGAGGTTCACAATCTGTAGCAGCAACCAGTAGTGCCTTGATATGATTCTTTTTCTTCTCTTGACTATCCTTACCAGATTCCTAACGCAAATCACGTAGAGATACAGTTACAAAACTAAAAGAAGTAAACCGTTGTTATGCTCTTCTCTAGATCAATAAATTATAAGTTAATAAACAAGCACCAATTCATGTGCATATCTCGGCTGATTACCCATCATCCCAAAAAAAAAAAGCCTCTCTCTCTCCCCCCTGATGTTCAACTTTTCTCACCCGTCTCTCTCTCTTCCGTTTCCTCTGTAATCTTTATCTTATTCTCTCTCTCTCTCTACCTATGCTTCTCTTGCCCCCCTCGCAACTTTCACTTTTACCTCCTAACCCATCCTCTCCTCTACCGGTCAGCCCTCCCTTCAACATGCAATGACCATGGAAGCCAAGCTAGAGATAGATAATTGAGGATTTTTTTTGTTGGTCTCATGGTAGATCAGCCTTTCCTACATATTAATAGTGTTGTGGGGATGTTGTTGGGAATTCATGATGGATCAAAGTTTTGATTAACAGTTTGTGGTGATTTTGGTGGTTTTGCAGATATATGAAATTTTGAAAAAATAGTGTGCTGTCATTTGAAATTGGTGGGGATTAGTGGGATGATTCAAAGAGTTGAAAACATTTCTAGTTTGGCAAGAATGGATGTGATGTTAGCGGCTGCTTTTGTTGTTTGTTGTTGGCTGAGTTTTTTTTTTTTAATTTCGTTGTTGGCTGAGTTCGGTGGCGGTCTAGTTGCAGTCATACAGAGTCCATTTGGGAAGAAAGATAACAAAGTTGGCAAAAGAGGAAAGATAACAAAGTTGGCAAAAGAGGGCAAAGAATTAGCTAGACATACTAAAAAAAAAATTCACTGGATTCCTATTTCACCACAACAAACCAAACATACGAAAAGAAGTTGCTAAAACCCATTACGATTGAGGACCCTTGATACTCATTGCTATTGCCATTCCAGAATACCAACCAAACAGGTAGTTAGTGTACTCTAGCTCCAAAACATTTCAAAAAATAGATTTCAAGTTTCATGTATGGAAACCAATAAAGGCAGCTATGAATATCTTAAGGAATAAGGCAATCCAGTTTAACTCTCCTCTACAGCGAATAAGATCAAAGCTCATCATCGAAGTCCATGAAATAGGAAAATTCCCAGGCACCTTAGCAATAAGGCGAAATGTATCAAAAACTTTAACAACAATTAGTGCTTCTGGTTTGCGCATTAAAGACTGAGACGAACGGCTTGCTTTTGCAACAAGGCCTAGATCACCAAGCTCCTGAGGCAAGTCGGATAGTGAAGTAATCATTCAAAATCAAAAAGAAGAAAGAAATTGCGGGCAAAAACTTGCAGGATTTTGATATGTCAGGAGATTCCTGCACACAAATTATTAAGCAAATATAACTAGACTACACCATTCGCAAGCTTTGAATGAAATTCTGCTCCTCTAACTACAAAATTTCTTAAAACAAGTGCAGTGTACTCATTGCAGAAAGATCAGCCAGAGCCTTCCATTAAATCAAGCAACTAGAGTCACAGAAGTCAAGTAAATCATAAAGAGAATAAATGATAAATTTTTTTTTGCAAATTGTATCTTAGATCAATTAAAAAAAAATTTTCCAGACAAGCTACTGCGTACAAAATGTAACAACAACCAACGTACAGCTGCAGCCAAAGAAAGTAACAAGGTAAAACTAAAGCAGCTTCTCAAATAATGCAGTTACTTCGTAGAACCAAAATCGAGCCCAAAACTAAAATCACAGGCAAAGGGTCGAATGTTTTTGACATCAACATAGCACCAAAGCTAAATTCAAAATATTCAATTAAATGTGGCATTTGACTGGACAAGCTTTTTTTCTAATCCCATTCTTGATAATTTGTATAAGAACAATAGTGCTTGTACAGAGTTAGTAGATACCTTGCAAACCGAATCAGACAACACAATAATCACCATAGCAGCATTCTACAGCATTGAAGCCACAGCTAGGCAGAGACCTAAATACAGCATGGGACTTATGTTTCTTTCTCCTCCCCTATTCTCCATCTCATTTGTTAATGTTTTGCAATTAATGAAACAAGGCCAAAAATCTCTAGAATTTCATTTACTAGAACTGAGAACAAGTTACCCGCGATCATTCTGTCATTTCACTTGAAGTACAATTTCTTTAATTTCTTGGCATCGAGTTAAGAAAAGCCAACTCCACAAACAATAATATTCAGAGATAAGAAAAGAAATTCAATCAGTTCTAAACCACACCCAAGATTTGATAAACACGAGTGACTGGAATGTAGTAGAGTTTCACCTTGTACTGCTTCTTAATTTGTGCTTCTTTTGTTCCGCACGCCTCGTACAGAGCCTTAATAATCGAAGCATCCCCAATCCCAAGCTCCAATCCTTCATGAGCTGGAGCAATCCGGTTCGCCAAAAGGTAAACAACAGCCACCAAATCCTCTGGCGTCGTTTCCATCACAGTCCTCAACATGTTACAAACAATTGCAGTTATCGCAATCCGCCCTGATTCTTTAGAAATAGCATCCAACGCCTTCGCTACAAACATAAACGGCACCCTTTGTGCCTTTCCCCAATATGCCGCCTTCTTGGGATCAAAACTTGCCGCCTTATCCTTCAACTCAAGAAGGCTCGCATCAGGAGTAATTGCCACCTTAGGTTTCTTAACCACCGCTTCCTCACTTTTCCCCAGCTGGGTTTCTTAAACACCGCTTCCTCACTTTTCCCCAGTAATTGCCACCTTCGTCATTTTTCATATTTTTTTCCAGCTGGGTTTCTTTAATTTGAGCTGAATCAGGTTCTTTGACTGAAATCGGAGTAGAATTTTGAGAAGTGATGATGGGGGTGGGGGTTTTGCGTTTCTTGGGAGATGGTTTTTGTTGTTTCTGCACGGACTTTTTCTTGCTGGCATTGGACATGAGGAGGTCGAAGGCAGAAGGGTGAGAAGCCATTGCTGCTAGTGATCCTGGATTAACTAATGGAATCGAGAGAAAGAGGGATCTCTGAGAGAAGTGTTTTGCGGGGAAGGAAGAATAGATGAGAAAGTAGGGCTTAAAACCGAGTGGTTTTCTGAGGGGATGAAGCGAAAGAGTGTGGTGGGTAAAGTGGAGTGAAGAAGAGCATGACCTGAATGCGGTGAGCATCAGCTGCCGTTTTTCTGCTACGGAGAGGGAGACAACTGACACGGGTTGCTGTTGCGGATGCGGATGGCTAGGAGGAAAGAGGAAGGCAAATGGCGGGAAAGGAAATTGAGGGTTTTGTGAACTTAGGATTGAAAATTGCCAGAAAAGCCTTTGGAAAAAAATTGCTGGGGAAGCCTTTTTTGGTGTTTGGGTGATGAGTTGTTAGCAAAATCTTGAGAGAGGGACTAAAATTTTCATTTCGTAAGCTAGCAATAGGTGACTTGAAATTTGTGATTTGAAGGTTTGAGGTGTACCCCCCAAAAAAATAATAACAAAGTCGTAAGCTAGCAATATGCAGACTAGTGAGTTAGTGGTATATTAGTGGTTTATTATACGTTTTCTTTCACTATGTTCACACTCTGAAGTCTGAATTATTCCAACCCAATTGATGAAAAATGTTTTAAAAATATTTAGGACAAATGCAATATCCACATAGTTTATTTTTGTGATATGTCGCATCGTGGAGTGGAAACGGCATGCATATATGCTTGGGCTCGTGAGTTATCAAGTAATTTAGATTAATCATATTTTGTACCATAATTTGGCTCAAAAGTTAATTAGGCCAACCCGTGGATCAAAAGCGTTACAATTTTGACTTATTTTATTGATTCAAGTTTGTTCAAAAACTTTTTTTGGTAAAAAATTTATGCGACATGGAAACATAATTTGGTGAATTCACAAAACCATGTATATTGCACATGCCAAAATCAGCTCGAAAGTGGATTGTCCAACCCAATTGTAATGATACAAGTTTTAAAAGATTAGCAAAGATGCATATGAAGGTAAAAAAAGGTGATTAGCAAATGTGTTTACGAAAAAAAAAATTTTAAAAGAAAACAGTTTTCCAAAATTTTAACTCTTGCACCCATTCCTACACTTTTCTACTCCCAACTGTCAAGTTCAGAATTCGAACTTTGAACTCGACGACGTTGGTCATTGGACCAATCCCAATGCTTAATTTTACCAAACTTGCAAAACAAGAAATAAGAAATAAAGACCGACCAAAACGTCTATAAGTATACTGATCACAACAAATAATATAAAATCTGTTTTGACTCGCCAAACTTAGGTTATTTGCATGAGTTTCTTCATTGTTTTTTAATTTTAATAATAATTGATATCCCTCTTCTGAAGGTCTCTCCACAGTCTCCACACACGGGGTTGATGGAACAGTTTTTGAATGAGAGCCATTCAAGTCATGTTGTTGATTGGAGTTCCAGAAAAAAAAAACTCCAAATTCCGTCTGCAACTGGCTGGGGCGGTACGCTGGTACGGAACAAAAAATCTATAATAAGATAAACAATGGAATGTAGTTGTAATGATGAACCCCTACCTAAACCTAAATAAACGGAATAATTAATACACCACCAAATCAATAATTGTATCATATTCTACATGTTCTTTCCTTCTCGAACTAGCTTGCAACTGGTTTTGATACGTCAGGTTTCTTTACAGGGACTAGACTACAACTACTTGTATGGACGAAGAAACTCCAAGTTCCTAAGTCCACGAATTTCGGATCCCACCAGTGATTTTTGTGTTGTTGGTCATGATTAGTTTCTTCTTATCTTCTCTCCAGTGCAGGACGGTTGGTCAACTGAACATGCAAGTTGATAATTGCTCAATTCTTCAATGATAATAATGTTGATGAAAAACTCACAAATTATGCAGAACGATCTGCAGCAGAAGGGCCTGCATTGATTGCTTATAATGAGAATCCACTTCACTTGGGCAGAAAGCTAGGGGGTGAGCATGAGAAATGGCAGCTACCTATTTGGATTGCATTTTTCGTCATTTTTCATCGAAAAATTACTGTAGCGATTTGATGTACGTAAGGAAAAAAGATAATAGAAAAATGTGTTCACGAAAAACGACGCAATTTTCTGATAAAAAATGGCAATCCAAACACACTGGCTTCAACTACTTGGTCCACTAATATTGCTGCTGCATATGGAGGTTGAGAAACAGGGATGGTGTTGGTTTGTGGGTCCCCCTTAGACTGACTTTAGGGTCCGTTCTTTCGTTGACTCATGAGTGTTTCTAATCTAACTGTGTGTGTTCTTCTTCTGTCTATAGAAAAAAGAAAGTGTAGTAAACTTTTTTCATTCTTATTTCTCCCTCCGTCCCACTTTGATAGTCTTATTTTTTTTCACACAATTTAAGGAAAAATAGTTAATTTTGTTGAAAAAATAAATTTAGATTGCCATTTTTCTAACATATCCTTACATTAAATATGGTACAACTTTATGGGAACTTAGAATTGATGGTAAAAAAAGAATAAACTCTCATTAAATGGAGTAGATTTATAGTAACAACTACTTACATTGAATAAGGGTATATTAGAAAAATTAAAATACAACTACATTCTTCAATTGAAAAGTGGACTACAATTTGGGATAGATGAAAAAGGAATACAGGACTATCAAAGTGGGACGGAGGGAATATGATACTTTTATTATAGTTCATAAGCCCAAAAAAAAAAGAAAGAAAGTGTAGTAACATTTGATTCGTAGTCATTATATATATTATTAAAATGCATGCATATACATTTATAATATTTTTTTAATTTAATTTCACGCTTTCAAAAAAAGTACTACTGTATGAAATCTATTTTGGCAGTGTCCACTAGATAGCATTAGACAATTAAGACATAATAGGGATTGCAATAATGTTTTTCAAAAAAAAAATTCCAATCAGTAACCGACACACTACTCATTTTCCAAAATCAGCTCTTGTAATTCCACTTTCACCTGCAGTTCACGGGCTTCCCATAGAAAATCCATCCTAATTTAAACTGTGCAGTTTTTGCGGGGAGACCATCCATCTCCATCTGGTAGGTCAAGACTTGTATAGGATTTAGGCTACTGATTGATGAGTCAACAAAAAAAAAATAAAAAAACAAAAAGAAAGAATCTTTACCCCTGAAGTTTAAACAAACAAAACATTAAATTATTGTAGACATGACCTCGTGGAAATCTGCTCTTATTAAAATGTTTTGAAATTAACCAAGCAGACAAAAGAAGATTTGGCATTCCAAGAAATACAAAATTAGTGTCAGTTAATAAGGGTTAATTTGGTTTCTTTCTCATGTTTGGTGTCCCTCTTCATGTTGCTTCGATTTGGTCGCATAAATTACAAAGGAGAGTGACAAAACAATTGACCAAAAGAGAACAGAACAGAATGGAACATTTGCAATGTTGTCATGGAGTTCGATCTGACAAGATGTGGAGTAGATCACTCTATATTTTATCGGCATTCTAATGCTAGTAAAATTTTATTAGTTGTTTATGTGAAAAATATTGTGATTACAAGTGATGATGTTGTGAGGATCCAGAAACTTAAATCCAATCTGCAGGCAAACTTTCAGACAAAAGATTTAGGTCATCTACAGTATTTTTTGTGTATTGAGGTAGCTCGGTCTAAATATGGGATTTATTTATGTCAAAGGAAATATGTACTCAATATGTTGAGTGAAGTTGGGATGTTAGGTTGCCGACCTGTGGATACTCCTATGGATCCCAATGTGAAATTAGTAGGAGATCAAGGTGCATTACTTGATGATCCTAAGCAATATCGAAGACTTGTGGGTAAATTAAATTATCTCACTGTAACGAGATCTGACATTTCATTTGCAGTGTGTGTTGTGACTCAATTTCTTGATGCCCCTCGTACTAGTAATTGGGATGCTGTTATACGAATTTCCAAGTATCTTAAGAGTGCTTCTGAGAAAGGGTTGCTGTATCAAAATCATGGACATACTGATATTGAAGGATATAGTGATGCAGATTGGACTGGTTCTGCCTCAGATCGAAAATCGACCAAAGGATATTGTGTGTTTGTTGGTGGTAATTTAGTGTCGTGCAAGAGTAAGAAGCAAACAATTGTCTCCAGATCAAGTGTAGAATCTGAATGACTCACTGTATGTGAGTTGGTTTGGTTGAAGAGCATGTTACTTGAAATTGAGTTTGAGCATAAACAGTGATGCGAACTCGACCCAATAAGAACCTGTCATGAAGAACCGAATCGATCAGGCAGCGGAAGGATCTATCTTGATCAGGTTATGGAACAATAACTACCTTGCTAGATCTAAAGAGAACCTGTCTCTAGAAACCTAGTGGATTGGTTATTGGCTTGAAAGAATAAGATGAAGTGATCATCTTGCCTTGAACACCACAAGTATCCAAGCTAAATACTTGATACTGTTCAAGAAGAAACTCAAGTTCCATCAAGGAACTCCATAAAAGGAGACAACTCTCTTTTTATTAATTCATCTTCAATCTGCTCTCCCAATAGTTAAATAAAGTTGGCTATTTATAGCCTTACAAGACTCAAAACCATAATCTATATTGGAAACAATACAAGTTTTTTTATTTGACTCGACTTCTAAACTTGACACAATTTCCTAAACAAATTTGGAAGCAATTAACTGTTTTCCTAAAACTCTAATTCAACT